CTCGTTCAGGTTCGACGTGAGCACGCTCTCAACCGCAACACTGTACTCTTCCATTCAAAAAACAACCGCCAGGCACCTCGGTCAGGTTCGACGCGAGCACGCAGTTAACGGCAGAAACCAACCTTGTGCTAGGGAAAACCAAAAACACATCTTTTGAAAACTACACGGCCGAACTCCAAAACAATGGATTTTGGGTTTTTCCTAGGAAAACCAAAGAAGGTTTCCTGTGGAAAAAACAGTGTTTCATAGTAAATAGATGGTTTTGGACAAAAAATCCAACTTTTTCCTAGGAAAAATGGGTTTTCTGCGGACAAACCAACATTGTCCTAGGAAAAAGATGGTTTTGGGTCAAAAAACCAACTTTTTCCTAGGGAGGAAACAGATGGTCTTGGGCCGAAAAACCAACTTTTTCTTAGGAAACATCGGTTTTTCATACCAGCACCAAATTGTTCCTAGCAAAGAGCATGTATTTCACTTGTTGTTTGTGCGCGTTACGAATTAGTGTTGCCAAAAAGGTTCGAGTGTCATTACTATTGGGATTCGGTTCCGCTGAACATTAATACTATACAATTAGTACTGCAGGTTCAACACAAACCGGGACCCAGGATATCAGGGCTATCACAGCTACCACTACGATTTCTTCTAGCTGACTAAGGTTGCACATTGAATAAGACAAACATCGGGGTCAAATTATGGGTGGTACTAAGCCTACTACGGGTCGACTTAGGCCTGCTGTCAGGGCGAATGTTACGGTAACCATTGACATAAGGGCGAATGACAAGGATAGGGTAAGGGTTGATGTTGTTGGGAATCAGGAGTCAGATAGCGATCCTCGTCATTATGTTGGTATCTAGTACAGGTTTAACCTTAGGGTTAGCATGTGTATATACACATAAATGTACATACACGCGTGCGGGCAAGTCCGACAGCAAATCCGAGATGATCATATACTACATACTACAGCGAGAAAGGGGGTGCCATATACAATATGTTGGGGTAAACAAACAAATGCTGGTATCATCCCTAAGAATCTCTGAGGCCAATGGTCGGGGTTTCTCCTAAAGCCATTGTTCGGCTTGCTGTGGAAGGATGTATCCTGTGCAGTACGAAGGTTGCCAATGGGAACAGCTTACAGGTAATATTAAGTTTGCAAGTAAGGTCCATCTTGGAGTCAGATCCAATATTCGCGTTGCCAAGGGGACTGCAATATCCTTACCATCGGGGGGCCAATCAGCCTTCAGGTCGATATGGGAGTAAGTATGGGGATGTATAATGGGGCAGTCGACATAGCAGTTTAATCCATACAGACTAAGACGTGGATCTATAAGGAATCTCTTTTGGGTGAACATGAAATAGAAGACTACTATCACCATTGGGGCCGATGTAAGGTCTAGTTGCAGGGTAAGTCTTGGGGGTACTGTTGTTTAGGAATAGCAATCAGTCAAGGCCCACGATCATTCATACGTACTGCTGGGGTTTTGATCTGAGACTACAGTGAAGGCTACGCCCATATTGAGCTTCGGGTATTCGGATAGAAATGAATTTCATCGTTGGCGAAATCATCTTTCGGAGTATCTGCGTGAGGGGTCGCAAGAATTGAGAGTGAAGGCTTTTGCCGATATACGTATGCTGTCTCCTCGGAACTTCAAAACCTAACGTTAAACCTGGGTCATACACCAGAAGCCTAAACGTAAGAGGATTGGTGGCGCTATCGCGGCACGTCGCGGTGGTTCATGGGGGGAGGGGGGTTAGCATAAAAAAATTAAAAAATAAATAAGAGTGTGTGTATATATATATATGCATGCTACTCCTATCGGGTTACAGTGCAGAGTGTTCTTTAAAGTAAGGGGGAGAGGGTCAGGGGCATAATAGACAAGACTTACACCAAAACTGGTGGACAACTCTGGGGGGGGGGGCTGTTCAAAATGTCACCTGAAGACTGCCCGAAGACGTTTGGGAAGAGCCGGCTTTTTGCCTATTGCTCATCATTTATCTTTCTCGCAATCTGTCCCTTTTCACTTCTCGGTCGGTTCTGACTTGTTTGCTGTTGTGTCCTTGTCCTTCTCTGTCGTGTCTTTCTGTCTTTCTGCCTCACTCTGCTGTTGTCTCTCTGCCTTCGTTCCTTGCCAAGCCTCACCTCGTACTTCTCATCCCGCCAGGAGCAAGGTAGTTTGTCAGTGGAAAATGCTACGGCAGCAATAAGTCGATAATGACATCCTGGACCGCAAGGCCAACTAACGGGCCCGTGCGGAGGCTACAGGCCGGTCGAAGGGCACGAAAGCCCACGAAATGCCGTACCCACCAAGTGATCAACATGCCACACAAAGGAGCATAGAAGGGACGCCAACGGATTGGTGTGCGGAGGACTGCTTGGGACAGGGTGCATGTGGGGGCATGCAGCTTCAGGCATCGTGTTTTTCTTATGATGGGCAACGCACCTTTCATTGCAAGGTGGGACACGTGGAGGATGGCGCGGGAGAATGAAATTGACACATTGATGCATGTGGAAAGAGAAACAACCTCTCCAGGAAACAGCAAGAGGTCACACCACTCTCACTGTTAGAAACAGCTTATCGCACCCAACCTTGATCTTCTGGATGCGGCCATGAAAACTATGATGCATTCCATAGCTCCTCGGCAGCAAACAAAATTCGTGCAGTGCTTTGGGACGTTGTGCAATTCAGGCGCGAGCGGAGCACATTGTCCCACGTGCAAGTGACGTTTCGGAGCGGACCTAGGGCTGCATATGCTGCAACCGCACAGTCCGCATGATCCCGCATGCATCCTAATTAAAGGTTGTCCCTCCTCCTCGTTTTGTACCACTACCCTACTGTCTTGTGGCATGCTCTCTTCTCCGAATGCGTCTTCGTTGTCATTGCTGCTTGGTTGTCGGCCGGTGGCCAATATCTAGAGCAGACATACAGGTAGCAAACAGCACGAAGACACTCTGCCTTCGACTGGGGACAGCTGAGGTGAGCAGTCTCACTCCCCGCAAGGCCCTGTAACTCACACACAGCCAAGTTCATCACGCTGGTGGCAGCCCATATGATCTTGCGATCAGCTGTCCGTCCTTTAGCCAACGGTACTGAAGGAGACGTCTTCCGACGGCAATATTCCACGCCTTGTAGATGTTGTACATCCTCAGCGGATTACTGTGAGACGCAGTGTAACACACTTAAGCAGTAGGACATAGGGCACGAACCCGACGGCACTGATCGTGAACAGGAAGGTGTGCGCCTGCGTGGCGGCCCAGCTGAACGTAGGACCAGAACTTTGGGCCGGTGCCTTCCGGCTGCCTTACCTCGTTGCAGATGTTGGGGGCTTGGCCCGAAGATCTCCAAATACTCACACTTGTTTAGACACTGCTTACTTGTAGCTTAGCCGACTTCGTCGACTTTCGCGCTCCGGTCTGCCATGTAGGATGCGTTCGGTGCTCGATCTCAGACCTTTCCATCATTGGACCCTCGATGCACCCACTCTGAGAAAAAGCAACACGTGCACAAACTTCAAATCATCTGCACATGAACTGTTTTGGACTTCTTGTTCCAGTTTGTTTTGCAACAGATTTGCGCCCAGCAAGCCGCACCCTGGAAGAACCCACTAGGAAAAACCAACACCCTACGCATGGTTTGGGTTGCATGCGATATCTTATGCAGTTTGGACAGTCGGGTAGCCTGATCTCCTGGCTGCCAGCAATCGTCGACAGGAAGACCTTCAGCTTAGAACATGTGCAGGGCAACTGAAGTGCAGCGAGGGCGTTGGACGATGCGATTGGTCGCCAATGACGCATCCAAAGGTCAAATGGCCAATCCTAGGTCATTGTTGATCACTGTGCTTGCAAACTGCCTCTCGGACTTGGCGCAAGAGCCGCACTTATCAGCACCGCCAACTTCCGCATAGATAACATCTGAACGATGCAAGCTGGATGGTGGAGGCCACTGAAGCTACGCAGGGGCGCCGCCTCGCCGAGCATCATCCGAGAAGTCGAAGAGAAAACTGCTGGAGTTGCTAGCAGGCCTGTTCAGTTAGGACACCAGTCACAACTAAAGTGCTCAGCTGAGCAACCACGTCCGGCCTGTTGAACTGCAACACCGCGCTGAAAGAAAAGTCCGGACCTGCACAGGCCAAACCAATCAATACCAACCCGGTAATTATGTTTGCAGCTGTGCGGGCTTCAGGCCGGCCTAAGTCTCCGCAAAACCCTGTCTGGCGCAAATTGATGCCACCACCTTCTCTCATCCTGAAAACCAGCGACTTAAAGTGAATCAAAGATTCCGCTTCCTGTTTCCAAGAGTAAAAAAAGATCAAGCCCGAATGGTCTGCGGTGATTGGGGCCCGTCCTCGGAAACTCTGCGCCTTCGCATGTCATAACCTTGGCAGATTTTGCCCATGAACACAAGATCTTGGCTACCCCACCACTTGCACAGCAAGCTAGGATGCCAACCGGCTTCGCTGTTCGTAACTCAACAAAAACTGCGCGACCTGAGCCGGGCTAATGGGCATATACTTCCGCAAGGGACACAACCCCCTCTCAGAACACCACGTGGGAGCATGTTTTGGCGACGCCTCAGACATTCTGTGTTGACTCGGCCTAGGAACCTAATTGAGAAGCAATGCGCACCTGCAGCTCAAACAAAGCGGATGCTGCAATACTGAGCGTCCAACATCTGCTCCAATATTATCCAATCTTGGCCCAGCAACCCGCCTCAACGCGAAAAACCTTTTATCTTCAGATCTTGTGACCAACCAGAATGAAGAGCTCGATATAGCTTGATGCCACAAGGCTTGGACAACCTACGGATGCGTAGGTCTGCAGCTGGCCTGCTGCAATCGCGGGGCTGTGTCGTGGCATGGCTCAAAAATCCCCGCAGCAGAGCCTGCCCGGAAATGTTCACGACATTTGTCCATGATGCACTTCTCGACTGCCTCGCGACACCCAGAACCATTGGAATTGTTTTCAACGACTGTTCAACGCGACATGCAGAATCGGACCTCTCGAACCTCTGGGTGCTTGGGTCCTTGGCAGCCGGACGCCGGAAGAACGACGGAATGCTCCAAATCATACTTCACCGTACTCTTATTTCTGACACCGTTGCGCTCTTCAAATAGCAAAATGACATGATTCAACGACTGCAAACATCCTGTTCTTGAAGCCAAAGCCTACACTCTGTACGTGTCACTAACACCACGTGGCTCTGAGTGCACGTGCCCCGTTGTCATTGTGTATACGTACTGTAGATTTCAGGCAAATACCTGAGGAACCTGCAGCGCGCAGCAGCACCGCAATGAATCGTGGCGGGACGCAGCGATCCGCAGCGGCTCGTTGTGCTAGTCACGGAGGCGGGAACTCCTCCACACCCTGCTCCAGGAGCTCCGTGCGAAGCGCACGCCACCCCGTGTCGAAAGCCCGGAGCTGAGGGCGCGCCGTTGGTGGGCAATGCGAACGGTCGCCAACTCATTGATTGCCACTTATAATTAATGATGTTTTTGATCTCGTGAGTATACGCGAATGATGCCAATGTAAGCGCTCCCCATTGGCTGGCGCTTCGCCAGGGCCCTGTATGGCCTTGTATAACGTCAGTGGGCCGCTTCGGGAGGCGAAAACACTCGAAAACATGCAAACATTGTCCAAACGCTGACTTTGTCCCCCCCCCCCCCCCTGCCGTACGAAGCAAGATCGTCAAGCAGTCACTCCGTCTGCTGTTTCATTTGCTAAAACTCAAAGGAAAACTCATCACAGGGCGTCTGACGTCTGTGTTTGCCTTGCCACAGCAAGAAATGTCGGCCTGCAGCCACTCCGATTGCGTAGACGCGGAGGGAGGAAACCGCCACGCTGTCGCATTCACTTTGTTTGCTCCACTAAAAAAACAATGTGTTCCTGCTGTTTTTGTCCAACAGCATCCAACACCCGTTTGCCGCCTGCACTGCTGCACGACGTACTCCGCGCTACGAGTAAGCTATACTACACACTGCGCAGAGGCAGGCGGCTCGGCTCCGCGACCTCAGCGAGGTCGGATCCGGTCGAGGTCCGAGCCTTGGCTTTGGCTCGCATGGGGCGGCGCGGGCCGAGCCGACCCCAGAGCCACGCTGGTAAACGCTGGCCACAGCCTGTTGCATGGAAACCGAAAGCACACGCCGAGCCAGGGCTGAGGCGGCTGCACTGGCTGCGCGGACGCGTGCGAGGTCGCGAACCAACTGCTGTGCTCCAGCGTTCGACCGTCCCCTGACTTCGGACCAAGAAAGACGAGCTGCTGCGGGCCGCCAGCAGTTTGTCAACTCTGGGCACGCAGTGCGCCTGTGCCGTTCTGCGACCACACCGAGGCACCATCATACTGCGCACGGTTGGGATACTGGGAAAAACCGGTGGCTTGTAAATGGTTAACATAGTTGTCGAGGTTAGCTATCGGTTTATAAACAATTGTAAAAGGTATACCGGGTGTTGATCGACGGGTTAGCAAGGCAAGGCTTGGAAGAGGGGGTCCAAGTTAACGAAATGGGTCGATTGTATGACCTAAGGACCTAAGGACCCAAAGCCCTAAAACCCCGACACCTCGGACCTCCCAGCGCATCTCCGAGCT